AAAAAATGTAACTGAAGAGGGTCCTTGTAATTGCCATAACAGGATGTCAACCAATAATATTTGTAAAGCTAATTCTTATTCAAACTTCTTATAATTTCTTATAATAATAATATTAAATATCTTAGAAACCCACAACAAATTTTAATAAAAACTATAAAAATATGTAAATTATACTAATTTATAGGAGGTTTTTAAAATAACTTGCCTATTTCAGCTCTATTGAAAAAAGTATTATGTGTTTTAAGACATGGCGTTTTCTGGTAAAGAATTCCCACGAGCGGTCCCTGATAAGTAGACTACACTTTATGATCTAGGCTTACCCCTTGTATTTTATTTTCTCTAGAGAGTTTATAAATTTATTTGAAGTATTTATTTTAACTATTGTTTTTATTTTGACTAGAGTTCTTAAATTATTTTTAATAGGTATTTGCAAATATGAACCTTTTCTAGCTTTTCTTTTCTTTTTCAATAAAAGTTTTGTACCTTTTTACCACTTATTTTTTGTAATTTTAAATACATTAAAAAAATAGAATTATTTCCTGATGCAGTCGCAGAGAAGTATTATGAGCAGATAAGTTCTATGATAATTTGACTTTAAGTAAGTAAATAACTTTTAAGAACGAATTTTTCTGGTATTGCCTTCACAATAATTTCACTACTCCTTGACCCTTCTTTTAGTACCTTTAAGTAAGATTTATAAACTCTGTAGGAATATTCCTATATAAAGTTGCTAAAAATAAATATATTCTGACCCTTGCCTTTTGCATTCCTTTTCTTCAAGTGCCTCTTAAGGTTATATTCCCTTTCTTCAAGCAAACGCCAGAATGTAGACTATATTTTTTTTCTAAATACATGTCTTCTGAAGTGAGTGCAGTTCACCTTGTGGAGGCTTGACTGTATATACCCCAAGCAGTTGAGTAAGCAGTCGACATAGACGTTCCTCTGGGAAGGCGGGGTAACGTCGCAGGCAGGCGCCAAAAAGGGGGTTGGGGGTGGGTCCTTGGTCCTTGGTCCCGGGTCCTTGTTTCTTTCGTTTCGTTTGTGATTATGATGAGGCGTCGCCTTCGCTCCTTCGTGTGACTTCGTTACTTTTCTGGATGCTGTTCTGTGCTTCGTTCTATTCAGTGGGGGCGGGGGGTTGGGTGGTGGGGTTTTTGGAAGTGAGGGGGGGGTCACAGGGTGGCCTTCTGCCGGCGTCACTGTCGCGGCCAGCGTCGCAGCCGGCTTCGGTGGTCGACGTTGCCAACCGCTCGTAGTGGTCGCGTTCATGGTTACCGCAAAAAAATAGTTTAATATCTCCGTGTCGTTTGATTCGATCGCCAGTCTCTGCCCCGAATCCAGAATCTATACATCTATATCTGTGTAATTCAAACGTGTGTGTGTGTGTGTTCTGTGCGAGTGTGTATATTGTGCTAGTGTGCCAGTGTCCAAGCAAAATTACCATAATTAGTAAGGCTCCAAAATCAAAAGAGAGTCTTTACACAAATCCATCATTTTTTTCAAGTGATTGTGGTGCCAAAATATAATCCAAGAAATAAGGAAATTCTTAATCTAATAAATACTGAAATTATTCTGGAAGAAAGCAAGTGGAAAATAAAAGGAAAATTTATTCAGAAAAGTAAGTGGGATCTTCAAATTATTGAAAAGTGAAAAAGAGATCAGCAAATACTTTGGAAAATAAAGCCAGAAGAATGTTATTTGACACAAGGATCAACGAGTGAAGTTTAAACCTTCAAGGATTACTTTAAAATATGTGATAATAAACGAAAAATGGAAGGAAAATCAACAAGTTTACAAGTGTAACGACGATCTCTAAAAAATATAGAAAAACTGAGAAACGTTCAACATACAATACTGTTTAAAAAATGACTAAAATAAGCATTTTGATATCGAAAGATTGATTAATTAATATTTAACAAATTAAAAATAAATAATTTAAGAGTACTTCAAGTTATAAATAATGTACTGGTAGCTTTAATATACAGTCATTCATCTTAATCTTAATACAATCATTCATTTTCATAGATTTTTCAAATTGAATATTCTAATTATTACTTCTTATTATTTATTTACCTTTTATTTTCAAGGAAAATATCTAAATGCTATTTCTATTAAATTACTTTTTATATTCATAGTTAAGTTTCGAAACTAATGCTAGATTTATATTGTTTATAATTTAATACCAAATACATATCTTATATTATGTTCCCTATCATCTTTTGTGATCATCTTAATAGAAACATTTAATTTTTTTCAATTTTTTATAAACGATTTCCCTCACTAGTTGATCTAATTGCCTGACTATTCCCACAACCAACTTGTTTGTTAACCAATTATATAGACCAACTTCTGGTGACCCCATCACCGATCCTGCCTGACTCTTATCTGTGGCCACATATGTCGCCACACAGTCGCTCGGAAAACTCATTTGGGCATGGAAAAAATTGTATATAAATAAATACACGTACACCATTGTATTCATTTCAACGCGGAAGTTGTAAAAAAAAAAACGAAATGAAAAATGAAAAATACGTATACGCAGCGTTGGCCATGTGCATGGTGATATATACATATATATATATATTTACACAACACGTGCCACTCAACAAACACAAGGAGCAAATCAAAAAACTTTCTAATTAGCCAAAACTTTTAAATACTCTTTTTTACAATGAATAGAAATTAATTGTTGTTTTTATGTATTAATTAGAGAAAGGCTTGTGGAACACATATAAAGGCATAAATTATTATTATTTATGAATATTTATTGAGATATGTTTAGGTATAAAAAATAGCATGTAAATCAAATTGAAAAAAATAATATGTTTTTGAAATACATGCTTTTAAAATACTTGAATCTTATGTGTGTATTCATTTATTATCCATTTTAATAATTTATTTACAAAATAGGGTTCGATTATTTGCTCTTCTTTCACTTTTAATACATACAAAATATTTCTTTATATAATTATAATTTTAATTTATTTAATTTTTCCTGAAAACCCAACAAAAGATGGCTTAGAAACTCCTCGTCACACCAATAAAAACCCTCTCAAAGCTCAAGAATTTAAATCCTTTTTTAGTTAAACTTCTGCTCTGCTCTTATTAAAGGCTTTATGGAAAATAGTGAGGAAAAATGCCAAAATGAAAAACAAAACGCGACTGTGTCCGGCAAATGATTCTTATTTAAACAAAAGCCAGTTCATTGTTGATTTTGTTGGTGGCCAAACGCAAGCAAACGGCAACATATGGTGCTTTCGATAATTTTTCCAGTTCTGCTTTTTTTGTTTTTAACTCCACCATTTGATGAAACATGAACACACAGCACAGATGCAGTCATGCCATCTTAGCTGAGTTCATTTTTTGTTTTTTGTTTTTGTACCCGAATTCCCCTCATTATTGGTTATGATTTTTTAATATTTAATTGAGCTGCACTCGCCGACGTTGGCTTAAATGCAAATTGTGCGCAAAGGTGTGCGGTTCAGCTCGATTCGATACGATGCGATTCGATTGGATTCGATTGGATATATCTACCATATATAGTGCCAGCTTCTGGCTTTGATTCCGATTCAGAATCTCTGAAACTGAAACTGAATCTGCCTCGTCCTTTGTCCAGGCCCCGGGGCAAAAGTGCAATCATAATTGAGCTGTTGTTGGTGACGGCAATAAACACAAAAAAATAATAATAAGTGCAGCAAATGTGTTAAAACAAAGACGGAAAGCAACAAAAGCGATGGAAATCCGTAAAAAAATTAAGTAGCAAAATGTGCAGTGCGGGTAATTCCAAGAAATAATTTCTGAAAAAAAGAAAAACAAACTTAAAGGACTTGTTTTCCTTTAGCAGAAGTGTGAAAAGGGAATGTTGAATGCTGACTCCTTAGAAAACTTCTTGAATATTATTGAATTACTTAATATATTTAAAAATAAATGATTTAAAATCCTTTGATAAGTATCTAATGGAAAGCTAAAGGTGAAAAATGCAGTGAAAATTTGTTTTGATTTTAACGATGTTTTGATGTTTCTTTTTTCAGTCCCTAATTAAGAAGAAGTAGTGTAGATTTAACTTAAATTAAATAATATCTTAAAAATGTATCATTTTATTCAAAAATTTTAAATAAATACTCTTAATTAATTAAAAAATGTTATAATAATAAATTTTAATGAATTAAAAAGTTTATTTACCAGAAAACCACGAACAAAGAAATTAGGGAACCTATGAACTTGTTTGGGAAATTGAAATACAATGAAGAAAGATTAAAATCTCTTAGCTTAGATCCTTTTTCATTTAAGTATTTAAATGTTATAAATGTTAACAGTGTTTTATATTTAATGTATTTTTATTTAATATATATATATATATTAATATTTATCATTATTCACCATTTTAGTAATTCAATTTGCATGGTTAAGGGACTGACATATTTTTAAAATATTACAATTTATTTATTTGGTTACCAGTACATCTTTTTTGAAATTTAAAAAGGTTCTCACCAACATAAACAATTTAAAATATAGTCGACATCAAGCAGCTTAAAATTGAATCAAAATTTAAGACCCAGGGAAAAATATATATATTTATCTTTTTTGGAAATTGTTTCAAGTTCTTAACTATTCCCTGGAGATTTCCCAGTGAATTCTTTTGACGGAACATCAACACAACAATAAGTCTCTCACTCTATCTCTCCCATTACAATCCGATGAATTTCATTTGCAGTCCACATTCATTTTCCAGATTTACCAAATGAGCTGACAATGATCGGATTGAATGCGTCGACTCTTTGAGGCAGACATTGGGAATCAAACCGAAAACCGAAAGCCGAAGGCCGTTAACCAAAAACCGAGCCAAAACCCGGCGGCAACATACGGAATACGGAATACGGAAAACAGAATACGGACTACGGACTACGGACTACGGAATACGAAATACTGAATACCGTGCCGGTAGCCAAAGAGAGGCCCTGAATACCTGAATCTGGCGCCAAGATAGCACAGCTGCAATAATGCACATTTCTGCTGAGGTCAGTTCGACCACCTCAAATCAAATACAGCAGCAACATCAGACGCAGCAGCAGCAGCAACAGCAGCAGCAGCAGCAACAGCAGCAGCAGCAGCAGCAACATCAGCAAACAACAACGACCGCAACGAAGCGACGCAATGCTGAGTCCTTATCATCCTCCTCTTCCAACAACAACAACAACACCAGCACCACCAATAACAACACTAGCAACAATAACAATAACAACAACAGCACTACGATCAACAACAATAACAATACGAATAATAATAACAATGTTAAAACAAAGCCCGTGGACACAAGTCCCTATCTGACACCAGAGAATCTCATCGAACGCACCGTCGATGTCCTGCTTGCCGAACATCCTGGCGAGCTGGTCAAGACGGGATCACCACATGTGGTGGGTATTAATCCAAGTCTATTCATCTAAATATATATCTAAATAAAAAACTGATATAATTAATTAAAGTTGTAGCCAAAAGTATGCTATGATGCATTTAGGGTTATAAGATATATACTTAATGACACCTTGTTAATTCATTTAAAACCAAATTCATAGCATTAAATCAAGTATATTTATATATATAGAAATTCAAATTTAAAATGTCACAATAACAGCTAAAATCATCATATTTTTATAGTATGTTATCAAGTATATTTATATACATACATAGATATGCAGACAAAATACTTACCAAACACTTAAAATCAATTTATATTTAGGATTTTAAATATCTCCTTGCAAACTTTTTAAACATCTTGGCAATAGATTTAAAAAATTAATTCATAGTATTTTATGAAGGATCATACCTTCATCCAAATGAACACCGCCATATGGAAAGCTTAAATTTATAAAAAAATTTACCCAAAAGTATACTACGATGCATTTCAGGTTGTTAAATATTACCTTGCATTTTTTCCAACACATAAATAATTAATTTAAAATTAAATTCAATGCTTTTAATGAAGTGTCTTCATATATCTAATTATTCAAATTGAAAAACACAATTAAAACATACAAAATTAATTGGAAATGTTCCTAAAAGTATGCTACGATACATTTAAGGTTAAAAACTATTTTCTTGCCTTACTTTCGGATGTCTTGGTAATTGATTTTAAACTATTTTAAAGCTTTTCCTGTTTCCAATACCCTAAATTTATGGAATTTAAATTTGTTTATTAATGTTATTTGTTTATTAATGTTTAGGTCTGCACCACCTTGCCCACCCATTGGCGTTCCAACAAGACCCTTCCCATCGCCTTCAAGGTCCTGGCCTTGGGCGAGGTCATGGATGGCACCATAGTTACCATTCGGGCCGGAAATGATGAGAACTTCTGCGGTGAATTAAGAAACTGTACGGCCGTAATGAAGAACCAAGTGGCCAAATTCAATGATCTGCGATTTGTGGGTAGAAGTGGAAGGGGTAAGTGGAGAATATAATATTACCTATTACCAATGAAAGTTATTTATTAATTTCTTTAAGCAATAAACCTATTATTTTTTAATTTAGTAAGGATAGATATTGAAATTTCCCATTTTATTTTGTATTCCTTAATTTTCTTTTAATTTTGCCTCATTTTTCTTTTCGTTTTTTCTCCGACTTTTGGTCATTAGCATTTGGCTATATGGTTGGCGTTGATTGCTTTCTTCCGGTAAGACCATTATCCATGCATATTGTTACACCCCAAATGCTCAAACAAAAAAAAAAAGAAAAGGAAGAAGGACTTTACACACACACACACAACCGAATTTGCACACACACAATTTTTCCGAATAAAAAAAGACACATCAAAAGCCGCTGACAAACTTTGGCCGGAGTCGCCGTCTCCGTCTTCGTTTTTGTCCTTTTTTTTGGTCCTGGCATCAACAAATAAGATAAGTAGTCTGTAGTTAATTTTTATATGTCTATTGGGGACATCCAGGGGCGAGGTCCTGCTGCACACAGGTCCTGGCAAGGCAGTAGACAGCAGCGGCAGCAGCAGCCAGTCCTGACAGTTGTCAATTTTGTCGGCGACGGTTTCCAATTTTTTTTTTCGTCCTTCCTTCATTTTTTGTTGTATTTTTTCTTTGGCCGCCGTTATTGCTGTTCATTTCGTCAATTTATCACGAACGCAATTTAAAAATCAAATCGAGGGTGACAGACAACATACTGTGATAGAATTTTCCTTCTATTTTCTTTTCTATTTTGATTTTTTCTCTCTCTTTTCTTTATATATATTCTTTTTTTTGGCTTGGCAAATTAAATCAGCGTAACTGTTTATTCAAATCCCCGGCAACTTTTACTTTTGCCACGGTGCTCGGTGTTTTTTCCAAGTTATTTTTCTTTTCGGTCCAGACTTTTCGCGGGGGATTTTCTTCTTTTGGGGCATGTCTAAGTGCGCGCTTTGCCGCGGCATTTGACAATTTGCTCATTAAGTTTGTCTGACCCTCGAACCCAACACAAAAAAAATAAATATATATAAATTGAGAGATGGGGAAATGGAGGCGAAAATGAGACGGGGGTTAAGGTCCTCTGGGGCACCCTCATCAGCAGCATCTTTCAGTCATCCCCCAACCATTCGACCATTCGTCCTTCCATCCATCCGTTCGTCCTTCCACTTGTTTGACATTTTTAAACGTTTCAAGTGGCAAATAATTCCTTGGGATTTACTTTGGCAAATCTTTTTAAACATTTGATTACACTGAGGCAAACAAAATGCAAATATGCAAATAAATAGCAGGAAAAAGAGGTTAAAAATAAATTAAAACATAAATTATTTACAGAGCAAAACTTGAAATAAATTTCCTCATCAAAAATACATCAAGTTAATACTTAAGATCAAAGGGAACATAGAAAATGAAGTATTAAATTCTTAAAAACTATATTTAAAAAAAAGTAACTTAAAATCAGATAGTATTTTCTAACAGTGTCTTATTTGAAGTCCTTGCTGGCCTGGTATTGCTTTTTTTCTTACTAATTATCGAGAGAAAAATGTTGAAAAAAGGGAGAAAAAGGGCGTGACAATTGCCAAGAGGCAGCATCAAATGTTCTACAAATGGATTTAAATTATTTAACCCAAGCCGGAACCCTTTCCCCAGATTATTCTGGCTGCTGTTTTTTCTGTTTTTTTGTTTTTTTTGTTTTTATCGCAATTTGTTTGGAGAACCCTTCTCGGTTTAATGCGCTACAAAAGGATTACGTGGGTCGAGTCCCCTTACGAATTCTGGCGTATTATTTGCTTAATTTCAATTAGCAAACAAATGCAAATCCCTTGTACTAGGAAAAAGTAAATGCAAAGCCTGCAATCGTTATTGTTGTTGTTATTTTATTTTTTGCTACAACTAATGCCACTTGCAGTTGTCAAGGCTGCAGACGAAGCTCCAGCTTTCCCAGCTTTCCCAGCTCCCTGGCTCCCCCTTTGGGTATGCAACAATTTATGAGGGCTGCCATGCCGCCGCCCCCCCCCCCATTGCTCTCAATGGGTTAAAAATGGCCGGTCAGTGGGTGTTAATAAAGGGGAATGATGGCCGGTGGCTTTAAGGAGGATAGCTCTATTGATAGTCCTGCCAAGAGCGTTCCATTATAACAATTGTAAGGATAATTCTTGAAAGTAAAAGATATGGAAATTAAAGGAGTTTACTAAACATAGGAATAGTTGCCTGAAATCAATTTAGGAGATAATTCAAGGATTTGCTTATAATCTTGAACAGTTACTAAGAATTCTTCTTAAATTAAACCAGACTTATTCCAAAGCATTATTGTTTTAAAAACTCATTTAAATGTATTAATTAGTGTCCACCCTCGCAGGTTCTTAGCTTAAAATAAACCAAAATCAAATTGTTTTCGAGCCTTGTGCGTGATGCTACCGTAATTTTAATGATATGGACTATGCCGCGAATGCCTGATGTGGATGGAGAATGATGAGGATTATCCATAGGGGAAGGGGGCAACGCAATTAGATAAAATGGCGGCATCAGCAGCTGCAATTGCAATAGCAACAGCGACACTGATAAAAAAAAATATATAAGAACTTTTTCAAAGATTTTAAACACAAAACTTGAAACGATTCTTAAAAGAACATTTGCAGAAGATAAAATATAAACGGGCATATTATTCCGACTTGACAGAAAACATTTCAATTTTAAAAGAAATTAAAGTAAAGAAGTAAGGCTTAAAAATATATATTATTTAGGACATAAGCAGATGCCTAATGTTGATTTTTATTTAAAATCTATATAAAATATACAATTATTTATAATTTTAAACAATATATTTGTATAATATTTCAATATTCCGATTTTTAATGTATGAAGTCACTGTTTAACATAGAAATAAAATAGTAAACCGTAAGTTTTTTCATTAAAAAAATCATTTTAGCAAAAGCCACTTACATTTCTATAAAAAAAGTAATAAATTTATAATTTTCATAATATTCAAAGAAATGTATATATATTTATTTTTTCTATATAATTTCTTTATAATTTTTATATAATTCCTATACAGTTTCTATATAGCTTTTATATAGTTTCTGTATAATTTTTGTATAATTTCTTTATAAATTCTATATATTTCTATATAATTTCTGAATAATTTCCATACAATTTCTATTTAATTTCTATATAATATTTATAGCATTTCCTTATAATTTCTATATAATTCCTATATAGTTTCTATATAGTTTCTATATAATTTCTATATAGTTTCTATACAATTTCTTTATAATTTCTATATAATTTCATTATATATTTCTATATAAGTTCTGTATAATTTCTATATAATTTTTGTATAATTGGTATGTAATTTCTATATAATTTCTATATAAATTCGATATAATGTCTATATAATTTCCATATATTTCCTATATAATTTCTTTTTAATTTCTATAAAACTCCTGTAAAATTTCTATATAATTTCTATATAATTGTATATTGTCTGTATAACTTCTATATAATTTCTATATAATTTCTATATCAATTCTTTATAATTCCTATTTCATTTCTATATAGTATCCATATAATTTCTTTATAATTTCTATGTAATATTTCGATATTTATTTATTTCCTGGGTGTTTTTTTTTTGAGTGCCATCAGTGGAAATGGAACTGCAGTTGCATTCAAGCGGAAACTGCATAATCCACATTCTCACACATACAGGCACACTCACACACACACTCTCAGACCCCCACACACCCGCACACTCACACACACACTCACTCACACACTCTCATATGGGAAATGCATTTGGTTGTTGTCTACTAATGAATTACAATCACTTGGATGTCGAAAAGGGGTTGGGAAATGGGGCCTAAAATGGAGCACACGGCCTGAAAGAGATTGCTTGGAGATGATGATGATGATGAGGCCGGTTCGGAGGGGGGATGGGGCTAGGATTGGGGGTTAAGGGTTTAAGGGGTTAAGGTGGGGTCCGGCACATGTAATTATTGTTGCCATTGCCATATGCATGTAAATGAGAGCGCCGGCCAATGCATCGCATTGATGTGCAAGCACTTTGAAGTGCATTACCAAAGTGCAACGGAATAACATCTAAGCTGCAGCTGCATTTGCGATAATATGTTAATTAACTGCAAGTGATTATGGCCCGCTCATTGTCTATAGCTCAGTTTAAAGGCCTGCAAAACGGAAAACAGTTTTGCAAAAGCAAATTGGAATGGGCAGGAGCAAGGATTTCACGGAAATCGGCCTTTTTTATGGGATATGGAAATAATATGGGGATTAACTCTAATACATCTATTATATATATCTATATTATCTCTAATATATAAAAGTCGTATGTTTTATTAAACAAAACTATATCATTTGGAAAGTCTAATAAACTTAGCATAATCGGAATGTATATATCGAAATATATGGAATTTTAAGGTTTATATATCGATAATTTCCAAAATATGTGAGATTTACTTTCCGATAATCCAAATATTTTATGTAAACAAAACTATATCGTTTGGAAAGTATAAAAGACATAATTGTTTCAGAATTTATATAAAAAGTTGTGTTTTCTTTTCTTAATATATTTCTTCAGTTACTTTTCTGCTGTTTTCGATTATGTTCATCAAATAAAATATCGATTTATTGTACATATGTATATCGTAACGTTAATTATCGATAAGCTTCCAGTACATCGATATATTTTTCAATTGCTAATGATGTCAATGATTTAAATAGTGTTTCCTCTTAGTCAATTAAAATTAAGACAAGTTTTTGTTATAATAAGTTTTCTATTAGTTCTTAAGCAGTTTTAATATTTTAGTAAATTCAATATTTTATAACATAAAATATCTAGAAATACTAAAATGTAGTCAAACTAAAAAACCTTTACCAAAAAAACCCAAACAAATCCTTAGCTCCAAGTGAATATTCCAGTAGCTTTTCTTTTGGTTCCCCTCATTGAGTGGTTCCTGTGTTCCTCCGTTTCCCGTGTTGCCC